GCAGCCTCCGAAGGCACAGTTAAGTTGCCGAACATCTTTCCTGGAACATGAAAGGCTTTAAGCATCGTAAAATATTGGTGGGGCCAGTTCAAGTTGTCAGACCCTTCCCTCAGTGACCCAGAACAGAGACAACCCTGTGAACTTTTTTCCAGGAACAGCTTGATTAGAAATCCTGCAACATAATAGGTAGCAGAGTCGTCTATTATGTTAGAGTCTTTACTTGATGCAAGTTCCGAAATATCGTCCAATGGAGGGAAGTCGTCCACGGGGGCACATTCCACGGCATCAGCGATTGAGGTTGTCTCTAGTGAAAACGGGGACATCTCCTGAAGGAGGTTAGCGTTGTCATCTTCAACATTTCCCTTTTCCGAGAGTTTTAGGAGCTTCCTAATCCCAATGTGCCTCAGTCCACAAGTAAACTGATACACATTAGGATTGGTGTTGCAGCCGTGTTGTTGCCTCATCTGCCCAAAAATATTTTCGAGGGCATCTTGCTGCAGTCGACGTGTCAAAAGAAAGCTGAAGTTATATTTCTCAGAAATATCCTCCCAGAGCATGAGGACGGCCCTGATAGTAACCTGCCACCCAGTGACTGTTTGTGGCTGCCGTCTACCCTCAAACTTCCAGGCTGCCACCCATGGAAGTTGGTTGCAAAGGAAATCAACGATTTCAGTGTCGCCCTTTCTAATCGCATAGCGTAACTTTTGTTCAGATTTTTTTGGTCTCGAGCTGTTAAGACAGTCAAAAAGTTTGTCTATGCGGTCACAAAAGTATGCGGTGGACATGGCCGCCTCAGGGAGCTGTCTGGCATACACAAGAGCCAAAAGTGCAACGCATACTGATGAACTGAGGACCTGAGTCGCACGTTTCACCTTCATGTTACTGAAAGGTTTCTGGTAAATATGCCGGTCTGTCAGTTTCGGGGCTAATCGTAGTCGCATCTCGTGCGTAGAGTGGTAAAGTTGCACAATGTAGTTCCAGTCTACAGTTTCACTCCCGATGTGAAGCTTGTGGGCTTGCAGGTTGTTACGGGTGGTCTTTATCAGGTGCGGGACATCAAAAATAAAATAGACACTTTCATTTCTTACTTTGAAGAATGGCTGCTCAACAGACACTCCAAGTTGATGCGCCAAACTTACGTTGGAGGCACCCTGGTCACAGACCACTGCTTTGATAGTAATGCCAATGTCCTTCAGCTGCTCAATCAATGCCATAAGCAGGTTACGAGTTACAGAGGATGGTGTTGACGTATGCCCAATAGTGTATGCTACAGGTTGCACCCACCTCCTAGAAACTCCAGAGAGGAGGAAAACCTGGGCTCTGTCAGCAATACTGGAAGTTCGCTCAACACCATCATCTGCAAATCCGAGGACAACATCCTGCGCCACATCGTATGACAAGTTCTTTTTCAATATCATCTCGTCAAACACTAAAGTACAAATGCGGTCGCGTTCATTCCATGACTTTGTTTTTGACGCAATCGATGACATTATGCCTGGAATGATACCTGGCGTCATTTTGACATTCGCGAGCCACCTTCGTAGTGAACGCCGAGATGGTAGCGTGAACACTGAAGACATAAATCGGTATGCCCGCGGTCCATGAAAATTCAGATGGAGCGCGAATTTCTTCAGCCACAGGGGATATCGCTTCCCCTTGCCCTTCGACCTATTCTTTATATGCGATGATATGAGGTGAAATACCTCTTCAGAAACATGAGGCCGAATTATTTCCAGAGCTTGAGAAGCTGTCTGAGGAGTCTTCAGCTGCTGTTTCCGCAGTCTGGCTATCGTCTTTCTGTAGCTGGAAATTCTTGCCTGGAGTCGCTTGATAATGTCCTCGGGCCTTTTCGTGAGCTTGCGGCAAACAGGTGCAGGATGGTTTGGACCAGCTATAAAAATGGCAACAAGTCAGTGAGATTAAAAACAGTTCCAATAAGTGCGATACGATTTAACCAGTACAAGCACCACTAAGCAGTAGCATACCATGTAAGGTGTGGAGTGAAGCCTGAATTTTCTTCTTGTGCTTTACCTTTTAAGCACTGTCAAAGCCAGTGAAACTTCTGACCACCAATTACGTTATTCTTTTTTTAGTCATGTAAAATGTTCTGCACTAAATGTCTTCACATAAAATCCTTGATAACCTTGCAAGTTCGAAAGGCTGAAATAGCATGAAAAATTCTCTTGAAACCTCCGCTTGATATGTGTGTTCCATTTTCCCACACCTCCCCAGTCATTAGTAATACAAATGGTTAGATCGGTATGCCACACACACGAAGCAAAGACTATAGCTTATAAAGGGACCTAGAATTCTTTAAACTGATCCTTCTGGGACATATTGTATTATCTACTGGCTATAGAGGTTCACACAAATATGTTTCAGAAAGTGGCGAAAGCAAAACGGGACACTTACAGTGTTGACCTGGACCACAGTGGCCAGCGAAAAGACCAGAAGAGCTGGTTGCCTGACTTGGGTCTGGAAGAGTGCGCATATTAGGCACAGGCTGATGCTTTAAAATAACTCTATATTACCGAGTACTGCAGAGTGCATTACTGCGGAGCTGCATGGGAGTGGGGAATTCTGCAGTCTGTCGGGCTCTGCCTGGTCTGGAAAGGTTTCACTATTAGACACAGAAGTGCACCATGACGAGATAACCTCTTACCAAGCACAGCACGGCTCGCTGCGACGGAGCTGCACTGGAGTGAAGGGCCAGACGAGCTGGTTGCCTGAGTGGGACCTGGGAGAGTGCGCATATTAGGCACAGGCTGATGCTTTAAAATAACTCTATATTACCGAGTACTGCAGAGTGCATTACTGCGGAGCTGCATGGGAGTGGGGAATTCTGCAGTCTGTCGGGCTCTGCCTGGTCTGGAAAGGTTTCACTATTAGACACAGAAGTGCACCATGACGAGATAACCTCTTACCAAGCACAGCACGGCTCGCTGCGACGGAGCTGCACTGGAGTGAAGGGCCAGACGAGCTGGTTGCCTGAGTGGGACCTGGAAGAATGGGCTTATTAGCCTACATAGAAAAGTTACTTATACCTTTGTGTATATGAGGGAAACACATTATTACAATCACCTATTGCAGATGCCCAGTTTATGGGAGGACGAACAGTAGGCACAGCTGATCGCACTAGGGTTGTTTGCCCTGGGTCCATAAAATCTTTTGCAGTGAAGTGATCACTGCAGACACGATAGGTGGCATAGAGTTGCGAAGCAGACTTTCCAAGAAGATCGTACCTCTTGGCATAGTCGAGCCAAGCCTTTGACCTGGAATATATATTATTTTCCAATGTGTTAAATGTACACTTTGGAACAAAATGTTAGATGCCAATCTGCAACCCTCTCTTCGACATTTTGGCTCCGCTTGCAAGCGATGGGGACATATTTTTATTTGGCAGGATTGCTTTGGATGTCTCAACGCACACAGACAAATTTGGGGTCCTGCTCCAGAGTAGTGCAAAAGTAGCTCAACTAAGAAATCATGGTTTTTGCACGAGAGGACGAACACAAGGGAGTACAACAAGCACAAGCGCGCTTGTGCTTGTTGTCTACCCTTGCGTTTGTCCTTTCGCACAAAAAACATGATTTCTAACGTTCACCAACTCGCCCAACAACAGGTCATTTTATAGCTAATTAACAGCAGGTGCACATTCACATTTCTTTAGGAAAAGACAATATCAGTAGAGAGCAATATTCACCCCACCATGAAGCAGCGCTTATATAACTCAAATTTAGAGCCACATTAAAAAAACACGAAAATTCACCCCATCATGAAGCACCACATTTATAACCCCAATTTAGAGCCACATTAAAAGCGATACATTCAAGCTATGTGCGAGACAAATCAAGGGCTGCGTCTTTTCCTTAACAATTTTGTCTTACAAGATTAATTTGTCAGTTTTTATCTTCAAAGACAAAGTGGTAAGTCAGTACTAAAATTAGTATAACTGACCTGAGATCGCTTAGCCCAAATCCCCACATTACAGTTAAGGCATCCAGTCAACTTTAGCGCTTGATTTAAAAGCGCATTCTAGTAATTAATTATATTGTGAAGAAAAATAAATTATTGGGATTTTTTTATATGCTCAAGTATGCAAATGGTTCCAAGGAACTATTGACAAGAAGGAGCTCACGCCAACCTACCTTGCGTCACGTGGGATTCGGAAAAATTTTGTGCCGGGTTTCTTGTGCGTTTTACCATTGTTTTCGCACCATGCGACACAGCAGTAGCTACCGTAGTAGCAACCGGAGGGCATCTGAGAAAGAAAAAAATGTAAGATATAAACACAAATATTCGTAGCTCTTAGTACGATAGCGCAGCCCATGTAACAATAATAACACACACGGGAAAAACCGACTGCTGTCTGAGGTTTATTTCGCAGCGTCTGTTGGACCTCTGAGCATGCAAATAACGGGTAAAACCAACGGACACGATACAGTTCGCTTTTTTCTCTTGCCCTTGTATGCGCACGCCGTGTTTTGCTCGCGACTAAGCAATAACAAAGAAATGAGAAAACGTCTTACCTTCTGAAGAAACCTGTTAGGCGCAGACAATATCCACGTTGTGCTCACATTCTGCTCGCTGTACTCACATGTGCTCAACACAAAACGCGTTGACAGATGTCAGGCACCATGCGGTCACGCCGTCCACGCACGCACGCGTCCGTCCGTCCGTCCCGCTTTAACTCCAGCCGCTTTCTCAGAGCAACTGCAGGAACCGGAACTGGCCCGTACATCACGTGATCTTCTTGACGTAGTAAACAAAAACTATTTCACCCTTTATGATACTTGCAACAATTTTAAATATAATAAAATTAAAACTTGAGTATTTATTTATAACAAACCTCACGAAATATTTTCATTCTTTGGCACACTTGCACCACTTAGCGGTCGGTGAGAAAACTAAACGCTCGGCCGCGAAACGGCTCGAGTGGCCACTCTTTCCCTTGTGTAGATTACTCTATGCTTCGAGATCGCTATTAAGCCGAGGTTTAACTCGGCTTCCACCACCATAGCCGACTCGAAGCAGAACGCGGCCTTGGAAGTAGTGATATGCGAACACTGAAAAGACGCCACATAATCGGCCACCATGTCACGCGCAACAATAGAGTTTTTTCGTGGATTGTTCCGATATTTATATTTTGCATATACAAGGGAGGCGGATTATCGGGTATCGTTATCAGTGTCGTGGGCAGTATCTACTAAAAGTCTCTTATCGAGTATGTGGAAGACCTTGAAGATAACCTCCTCTATACGGGGGGGAAAACATCGACGGTGGAGCCATGTGGAGCGCGGTCGCAGGAAAAAAAGGAGAGGAGAAGCGCGCGAAGCGGCAAACAATAGGGTAGATGCGGCGCAGAGACGGTGAGTCCTTTCCGCGATTCAAAAAAAAATTGTTTCTGCGTTTGTCCGCACCTGTTTCCAGAGGTTTTGCATTAACACGCACTAGGGTCGATATGAGACTTAGTGTGAAGCAAAAAAAATGCGCTGCACAGGTGTTTGCTCTTTCGAAAGACGTTCTTCCGCGCCCATTGTTACGCGTTGGAAACAAACTTTATGCATTTTTACTTTTTAAAGCGAAAGTTTCACACCAGCCTTAGCTAACGCCTTCGGAAGGCTGCTTTACGGAAAAGGTAGACGGATGCATCTGTTCCCATAGCGTTGAGATTAACATGTACCAGGGTCGATATAAGATTTAGTGTGAAGCAAAAAATTGCGCTGCGCTCGTGTTTAACCTTTCGTTCTGACGGCCACTGTTTTCAGCGACGTGCCAGATCGCAGGAGGACGGCGAAGGGGAAAGGGTTGACGTCCTCTCCGCGATTCCAAAAAAAGAAAAAAACAGTTCTTTCTTCGTTTGTCCACTCGCTCTTGTGTGGCGCTAGCAAAGTTCCACCGCTCCCCCCTCTCCTACTGCTGGCGGCCACTTTTTTAAGCGACGTGCCAGATGTTATCAGTATAGAGGAGTTTATGCGTCGAAGGACGCTATTTCGAGTGGATTTTCTCGGAGCAGTTTATTTATCAATGACCTCGGAATAGAGATATTGCAAATAAAGAAGGAGGTATCGGATATTTAAGCGATCGCCCACTAGCGCAGGACTACTAGTCACGCTCTCAATTAGACAACGATCAGGACTTTCCCCGCTATCCTTCGGATCCACCACTTCCAGTAAAGCTATGGAGCTCGATCATCAGGTATTTTTTTGTTCTTTGTATTTTCATTCAATTATTATATAGACAGTTTTTTTTCCAGACTGTCAGCAGGTGGACGATATACGAGACCGTGAAGACCACATTCCCTGTACTGGAGAGGGGGTGTACTTCCGGGTCTACGTGCGGGCTACTCTTAATGCATCATGTCTTAACAGCAATTAATGCTATACTTTTTGTCGTGGGACTTGAAATTGTCGAGATTTCAGCGAAATGCCTTGCGGTAGAATGTGTGAACACGGGCGAAGGCGTGGAGGACGACATGGACTACACCAAGGAATCGGAGGCGGCCATGATAATGTACCTTCTCTTCAGGCAACATTCGTGCGTAATTCGACTAAATGCTTCGAAATTGGTAGGCAAAAGTACCGTAATGTTTAGAGATTTGATTTTGTGCGGCATACGCCAAAATTCGTCTATTAGAGAATTGGTTGTAGATGAAACTTGCACGGAAACCGACATGTTTGACATGGAGCAAGTAACCAAGGACATGATGGATCTGCATCGGGCCATTGAACACCTCCGTAATCTACGTATCGTAAATATAATGACCACCATGTATGAGGAATTCTCAACTCACCTGTTGAGGTGGATATTAGAGTTTCAAATCGGACTGGAGGAGTTATCTTACGATATTGAATTTGTAGATCTGAGGTCCGTGCAAGCAATGCTAGAGAGGCCGGGCTGCGCCCTCAAAAACTTGCACTTTGATGGAGGTATTATAGAGGCAGATTTTCTGCGCGCAATGACGTCTATCAGACGCCTAAAGTTGACTGGCCTTCACATCGAAAACGAGGCCGTCGTTGAATTGGCGCGCTTGTTGATGAAGACAAATTGCATGATCGAGACGCTCGAAATCAATTTCACCAACCTAAACGACGATATGGTATCCTATCTGGCTGAGGCCGTTGCCCATAATCGGTCTTTAATCGAAATTAATCTAATAGATAACATGGCCTTGTCTACGCGCAGCCTACGGGTTTTGATAGAGGCTTTATCCATCAACAAGAGCCTACAAGTCATGACGCTTGGTGCCGTGACAGATTTCGACGAATTGGCGCAGCTGGCCATCGAGCGAGGTCAGTGCCAGCGCTTGAATTTGGTCGTTTCGTCCGATGGCCGCATAAATGTAGAATTATTGGCACAATTTAAATACGTAAGCATAGAATATGGAATGTCAGGCGAGATTCACCAATACCTCGGTGAGACTTTTGACGCCCTCCGCGCCTCCCCGCACGTGCAACACGTATATATCTTTGCCAACTTTTTGATCAGTGTGGATCGAAAGGTGGCCGCTTTCATAGCAGACTCTAAGACTCTGAAGACCTTCACTCTAGTCACGTGTGGAAAAGAACGCCAGTTGGTCGTAAAGACAGTTTTGGAAGGCTTATCGGAAAACCACGGACTAGAATCGTTCGAATGGTTGAACTGTGTCGTCGCGAGCTCGGAAGCCCTGCAAAGTCTCTACAAAGTTTTCAAAAACAACGAGACGTTGATTAAACTGTGCTTGTCGACGAGGCCATGCGGCATCGATTATTACGCTGGCTTCGAGGGACTTAACCCTCGGCTTCGATGTGTCGAGCTGCATAATGATTACAACGTTCGCCCCGGAGGATCGGGAGTGTTCGTCATACAAGAGGCAGTGCGACAAAACAGGTGGCTCTTGAACAGAGCCGCAGAGTTTGTGGCCGATCCAAGCGTCGCGGATGCTGCTCCGGACATGTACGACGTGCGGGCTCTGGAATCTCTGCTGTGCGATGTACGCCCCCCATCACCATCTACGTCCAAGGACGGCTGTTGTGTGAATGTCAACTCGAGTGAAGTGGACGTCTTGGCGCGGGCTCGCCGCTACATTCGTGAAAACTTTTTTCAACTGGCAAGAATATGTGACAGTGAAATGTCTGTGTGTGCCTTTCCATTTTTAAACAGAGAATGTTGGGAGGCGGTCGCCTCGTATTTGAAGCTAAAGGACATCAAATAAACATCTTTATACTCTCTCCTTATGTTTGATTAAATATTAATAGTTACCTAAGACGACGGCACGAGTGGTCTGGAACACTTGTCTGCCTCTATCGAGGCAGACGATTGTACGCTCTAGAAACTCTGGCCGGCGCCCAGAAAAAAAAAAAAGCTGGGCTCGAGGCAACGCTTTAAAAGCATGCTTGCACACTTTCTCGGATAAAAGAAAGCATAGATGAAAAGAGATGCATGCACCAGTAGACATTGTGCGTGCATGCATCTTTATATATTTATGCAAGAACTATTCGATTCTGATATCAGGTCGATCGTGTCGGTATCAGTAATTAGAAAGGTCAACTCATCGGTACGGGTTAATATTTTTACCAATGCCATTAATGAGAAGAGGGCCCTAATAAATGCTACTCTAGAGCAGACTTGTTGCTCTAGCTAGGTCGATAAATACACCACCAAGTAGATTACGAATTGTACATTTTTTTATTCACCACACCACGTTGTTGAGAGTGAGAAAAGAAAAGACGTGCTGCCAACACTCGTAGTTTAGAATAGGCTTGCCACTCGACTCGCACAGTGGGACGTTGTCTCTGCAAATTCCGCTAAATTCGAAAAATCGTCCTTTGATAGACCGCTTGGCGCGCGCCAACATCGATGGCAAGCGGCTATTGTCTTGGGGGTGAGCCTGAGCAAAGTGCCTTGCAAACGAGGCGGTGTCCAGCACGTCTTCAAAGTCACGTACACACTCGCACTCGACAAAGTCCTCCGGGTTGGTTACAAACTCGACGGCCCTGTTCATTCTCAGAAGGTTTTGGCGAAGCACCTCGCCAACTCCAAAGTCCTCGTATGCGTTTTGCATAGCGAGTCTGAGAATACTCTTGGACATGGCGGACGCAATTTGCCCGTAGTCTTCCGCAGTTAAATATGCCGACATCTCCAAGTACGCGAGCGTCTTGTTGGTGCGCAGCATATGGAGCAGAACCGGTAGACTTTGCGGGTAAATCACGCAGTCTGCACAAGACCAATCGACCACGCTTCGGTTCTCTGCCATCGCCATCATGACGCTGTCCACCATGGTGAGGTTGCTCATGAGAGACTTGAAATGAAAGGTTTCGACCGTCGTCGTGGCTCGTAAAAATTCGGTTATACTGTCGCAGGTCTCTTTGTAGACGAGTGGCAGTAGGTTGACCTTAAAGACCTTCAAGGCAGTCGAATGTGCCGCAAAATGAAAGAGTAGCTTCGAATAGGCACTCACCACACTGATGCCGCTATAGTTTACGGTCAGGTTCGTAATGGTCGAGAGAAGATTCACGGCCCGCAGATCACACAGAGCATGACCCATCACTGTGCCGACGACTCCAATACGAATTCGATCTTGTAAACCTCGCTCCACGATCGTTTCCAAGACCTCGTCTATGCCGCAGAGATAGCCGAGATTCACTTCGACTAGAGACGTGTTGTTGCTCATGGCTTCGAGTAGGAGAACGCATCGTTCCGGCCACACGTTCGTCGCCTCGAGGTCGAGTCTCTTGAGCGTCCGATTATGCAGGCGTAGCGCCTCGGCTATCGGTGCGATCCAATCCCCTTCCATTCGAGAGTAGATCACTTCCAGTCTCTCGAGTCGCCGATTCTTCTTTAGCGCGACCGCCAGGTTGTCGATCGCTTCGTTGGATAGTAGGCAGGCCTTTAGTTGGAGAACCTTTAAAGTCGAATTTTCGCCCAGTGCCTCAAAAAATCGCACGCCGGCACTCTCCTCTTGCAGGCACCTAGATAGTCTGAGTTCTTCGAGGAGGCAGGTGTCTCGCTCCATCAACGTGGCGAGGTGATAGATGCCATCTTCGTACACACTGTTATTGTCGTAGACAAATTTGCGTAGTTTGGGTAGCATCGTTAGCGTGGTTAGGAAAAATTCGTCGTTACCCTCGACAGAATTTCGGATGAGCTCCACGCATTCGATCCACGGATTGTATCTTAGAACTCTCTTGAAGGTGTTTGCAACGTCCCGACGTAGTACGGTATCCACCAGACACAGCTCCCTTAAATTGCCGAGTCGCGAAGCCGCGTCAAACACTTCGTTCAGATATTCGCCGTGTAGATTGTGAATGCCAAATTTGGTGACACCGTCATTGTCGGCCAAGCTCTCCAGAACAAAGTCAAAATGTTTCGAAGCGATGAGTTCGGACGAAAATTCAAGGCGTTCTATGCACCGATGACGACGTAGCAACAGGTTGACTGTGATGATGCTGTAGCTCTCTGGAACTCTGCAGATCGCCGTCGACTTGTCGAAATACACAGATCCCACCAGGTTCCGTAACGTGAAGAGCCGGGGTTCGATTTCCACCAGTTCCATACAACCGTTATATAGACATAGGTTGATGTTGGTCAGGTCCTTTACGATCCAGCATCTCCGGTCCAGGTCGCAGGTGCAGTCGGCGTGCCAGTCGAAGCCTCGCAACTCGAAGGCTCGCTTCATGTTTAAATACGATTCTACGAGCTCTTTCGGGATGCATTTCATATACTCTTGGTGTCTTTCCATAGTTTGTGTGTAGATTAGCCGCCTCCATCTCAGTGTGTGTATATATATATACATTTCAAGGTCGTAGACCCCCACCCCCCTCCACTACTCTTTCCATCATCCGAGATATGCGACCCTGACGACCCTGGACGGAACGTACTCCTCGATTAACGAGGCGCCCGGCCCCGACTTTCTTTAGGCGTGATAACACTTTAGCGACTTTGTATTACATGTATATATACACGCCCCATTTACGCACCTATAGCAAAGCCAACCCTGTCCTCTCCCCACATCACGACACGACTACCAGGATGGAAAAAAATTTGAAAAAGATGAAACGGCACCGACAATACATAACACGCATCTCGAAATATCGAGGATTCGATATACACGCCGACTGCACCTGCGACCTGGACCGGAGATGCTGGATCGGAAAGGACCTGACCAACATCAACCTATGCCTATATAACGGTTGTATGGAATTGGTTGAAATCGAACCCCCCGGCGTTTCGTATTACGTCATTTGTTCGGCTCGGCGACGAACAGCTACGCAAGCCCCCCCCCCTATAGCTAGACCATCGTAGTAATCAACCTATTACTACGCCGTCATCGCTGCATAAAAAGCGTCGAATTTTCAAGCGATATCGTCGCTTGGTCATCTAGAAATGAAGACATTTCTGTCGATGGAGGAATGCGGACAGATAGCGTCGGACATACCAAAGACGCTTCTCACGCTGATTCTGAAAAACAAATACGAAGACTTTGACGTGGGTGGTGTGCTTCGCGAAAACCTTCTGAGGATGAAGAGGGCCGTCGAGTTTGTGACCGACCCGGAGAACTTTGACGAGTACGAGTATGTACGCGATTTCGAAGACGTACTAGACACGGCTTCGTTCTCCAGGCACTTTGGGCAATGCCACCCCCCGAGACAAGGACCGCTTGCCCTTCTTACTGGCGTACGCCAAGCGGGTTATCGAAGAACGTTTTTTTTTCGAATTTAGCGGAATTTGCAGAGACCCAGTTCCGCTGTGCGCGTAGTAGTAGTCATGTCGTGATGTGGGGGAGAGGGCAGGGTTAGCTTTGCTGTAGGTGCAAGCGTTGTTACGCCCTGGGTGAGGGGAGTGGGGAAAATGACGGGGGTTTAGGTGAGGAGGAACGAACCAATTTTAAACTACGAGTGCTGGCAACGAGTCCTTGACTTTCTCCTTCTAAATGACGTTGAATAAAATGTTTAACTCCTCCCACGTGTCCTTGATCGAAACTGGGATATCGTATCCTGTTTCATACTTAGTCTGCAAAGCTTTTACTCGAGATTCTCGAGGCCAAGTTTTAAGATCACGTGGCGGATGTGTACATTAGGTATATATGCTATTATCGATGATTTCGAGACGTGATGGGTAAAGAGTGTCGTATCGCGTCATTCGTGCAGCAGCTGCCCTGATGGACGAATCCATCTTGCGTAGGGCATGCCCCGAATACTTTTCGGGTCGGGACTATTTCATGGACGACGTCGTTCGCCGTCCCGACAAGGAATACCTGGCCAAAAAGTACAAGGACCTTCCGCTGGACGTGTTGGAGGACCACATCAGCATGGTCGAGACGACGGACACCATCAGTTTCCATTACCGGGTCTTTAATCGCCACATGGGCGAGCGTTTCAGAAGCATCGTGGCGGACGTTCTTCGAGAAGATTACGCAAGATACTACAAGCGAACCGGTAAAAGCGACGGCTTTCGCTACTTGTATACCTGCAACGACGAACTGTCGCCCATCGACTACAACGTGACATACATGTACGACATGGATAGTCTTCAGACGGTCTTGGACAAGGTTTTCCAGGGCCAGGAGTTTACGCACGTATCGTCCAGAGACACGTCGACCGTCTACAAGCGCTACCGTGGCTATTCGCGAGCCCAACCGAACCACAAGAACATACCCATCTACAACATCACTGACGAGTATCATCTGCGGCGTAGCACGGTCAAAGCCTCGACGCGCATCCCCTGGGTCTCGTGCGGACCGAACCGGCACAGCAAAGTCTCTAGCGTTTACTGGTCGGATAATCCAAAGGAGGAGGACAAGGTGGTGTACGTGTGCGACGACTATTGTGCGACGACACATTACTACGACCCGTTAGGGATGAAGGAGATTGTCGTTAGCGAGTGGTTTGTCTTTCCCGTAGCAGAGGACGACAACGACGTGGAGAAAGCACAAGACGCCTGGTGCATCGCAAATACCGCCATGGACTCGATGGTTCTTAGATACGTCCTGGATAACTCGGACTGCGACAAACTACCTGTACCTTGTTCGTCCTTGGACCATTCGCTGATTCTGTCAAAGATTCAGAGGTTCGTAAAGCGTCGTTGTCACGACGTTTGTCTGACAAACGACCACGTCCGTTGCGTAAAGATCGGAGATGTTACCGTGACCTCGGTCGACGCGAGGAGCATCTACGGCATCATCGTGACCTGCGTGTCGACCAACGTTAGAGGCGTCGGCCAGCGCGA